AACTTCAGTTCCTGGAAAAAAAAACCTGTAAACTGGCTTCCAGCAAACTGTCTCCTTTGGAAAACAATTTATGAACTCGTTGTTTTTTCCAAAAGCACACAGTATAACACAATATCCCCAGCCAGTCCAATGTTTGCCTTTTTATCCTCTCCTCCTCCTCCCTTTATCATAAACATATTCCAAGCTGCAGTGGTGCAACAGTCATTAACATTGGGAGAGCTGTAATCTCTGTATTTTATTCTGCAAAGGGCTTTGAGCCCTGCTTGTAGCACCAAACCTCAACGTGAAAAACAATCTAATGATTTTCACGAGCTGCCTTTGCCTTCCATTGTCACCACATGACTGCACAGTCTGAAACCCGAAAGCACTGACACTGCGGTACAGTCAAAAGTTATGAGTCAGAAGGTTGCACGCTGGGAGGCCAAAAGTCCTCACACTGCTGTCTAGCATATATGATACTTTCCACAAACAGCTTACAAATTAGGCATGACACTTCAGTGAAAAGGAGATGTTTAACCTTCATAAATGTTGAGGCTCAGGAGGCCAGCATAAATGTTAAAGGGTTAGTTCACCCAAAAATGAAAATTCTGTCATTAATTACTCACCCTCGTGTTGTTCGAAACCCGTAAGACCTTCGTTCATCAGTGGTTCAACTGTAAAGTTACGAAGCTACGAGAATACTTTTTTGCGCAAAGAAAGCAAAAATAACGACTTTATTCCACATTTTCATCTCTACTGCATCACTTATGGACGCGCGTTCACGACAGTACCATGACGCGAGCGTGTGGTGGCGCCGGCGCTGTTACAGTTGAGTTACAGTTGAACCACTGATGGACTTTGTCGATCATCTTGGTACTTTTCTAGACCTTGAACATGGTAGTTACCTTGCTGTCTATGGGAGGGTCAGAGAGCCCTCAGATTTCATCAAAAATATCTTAAATTGTGTTCCGAAGATGAACGAAGGTCTTACGGGTTTGGAACAACACAAGGGTGAGTAATTAATGACAGAATTTTCATTTTTGGGTGAACTAGCCCTTTAAATAATAAATTAAGAAAAAAATACTACTTGAGCTGCAACGCTGCAAGTAACAAGCTGGCAAACCCAGTCTAAATTAAGCTGTCACACTGTACGGGCTAGTTAGCCTGGGATCAAATGTAGGTTATCAGTAAATTTATATTTTTTGTAAATATATTAGTTTATATATATTTATTTATGTGGCCGCAGGGCCGCGCATTAAGACCTCACTGGGCCCCGGGGCTATGACTTTCTGCAGGGCTCCCCATCACAATAAAAAAATATATAGCTTTAAATAGATTTTTGGGCCTCCATGACTTGCATAGTATGAAAAAAAAAATAAATAAATAAATAAATAACATACACTGTTGGAGTCTATGGGGACCAGAAACTTTCTGGTTACAAACATTCTTCAAAATATCTTCTTGTATGTTGAGGAGAACAAATAAATTCATACAGGTTTAGAACAACTTGAGGCTGAGTAAATGACAGTATTTAAATTTTTGGGTGAACTATCCCTTCAAGAAATCATCATAATGCTAGGATCTCATGCAGCCTACTACTATACACAGTTTTATCTTTCAACTATTAACGTTCATTTAAGACACAAATGACTGTGTTTTAGAGGATACTCGCAAAGACGGGCATTTTGACACATAACTGTGTATTTGAACGTTTAAGCACAAGGTGCGAAAAAGAACTCAAGTTAAGTCAGGTGCTGTATGAGCAGGTGCGCGCCGCCAGTATCAAGCTGAAACTGTCTTAAAGGGATAGTTCACCCAAAAATGAAAATTCTGTCATCATTTACTCACCCTCATGTCGTTCCAAACCTGTATGAGTTGATTTCAAACCACAATGCTTAGAACGCGTTTAAATAATAAGCTAACATCATGACGCGCAAAACGATTGACATATGTGTTATGTCCCAACCCTTAAGCGAATATATATAGATTATTCAAACATAGAAAAAAAGCAATATAGGCTACATCCATCAAGTTAATAATCAAACTAACCTAAAATCTGTGGGGACGATGACGCTGTGTTTTTATCTGCTCTATGTGCCCGGTCCACTTGTTGTTCCACAACTTCCACTCCATCATAAGCTTTAGTAAAAACAACCTATAGCTGGGGATTTTACTTAATAGGCTAGATCATGTTTTATCTGCTGTTTGTCTTTAAAGTTTTTTTTTTTTCCTTTTTTTATCTCCTCTCTCACAAAAATGTATTTTATTGGTTAACCAAATTCAAACGTGGCATTTCAATCTTTAATGGTAATACATGGAATACGGAAAAGCTCCACTAACTAATAGCGCTAATACGTGGGGGGCGTGGTGGGGCTTTGGCGATCGGCGCTACCGATGGCCAGTCAATCGACTCCACAGCCAATCACGGGCCCTCTCCTTGCTCGACCCTATTGTTAATGCGGCCCTGCCGTTATAAGCAACTAGTTAATAGTGAGAATTGTTCCTTAAAACAGTGTTACCAAATATTTTGTTAATGAATTTTACACAATTTTATATTATTTATTTTTGGTAATTTGGACAAAAAAAATTTTACTTTTTATTTAAAAAAAATTACTACAATGTACTGAATATTTAATACTAAACTAATTATAAAATTGTCTGATTTTAATTGTTGCAAGCAGTTGAGAAGGTCAAAATGTGGGACAGGCCAAAAATCACCATTTTAAAGGGGGTCATTGTCTCTCTGTGTTGGGTCAGGCTTTACTAAACATCATATTGCCTTTGGTTTCTGGATGGTACAGAGAAGATGCACTAGTTTGTAACACTGGATTTACAGACTTATCAGCAAGCCATGTAAGGAGTACAGTGGGATCAAATGACTGCTATGAGAAATGTGGCGCTAATCCTACTAACAAGCTAAAGTATTAAGTGACTGAAAATGGAGAAATCCCCTTTTGGATTTATGATGTACACTGGGGTGTCATTAAACCACTGTAAGTAAGTGGTGGATGGATGAAAGGAAAAAAAATGTAATCCTTTGGTGTATGAATCACAAACGCTAAGTAAAAAAAATGTAATCATTCCCTTTTTTTATTCAACATGATATACGGTGGGATTCAAAATCTGAATTTAAAAATGCTTCCATTTATTATTTTTCTAATATAATTTTTTTTCCAGAGTAAAAGTGAAAGTGAAAGTGACATGTGGCCAAGTATGGTGACCCATATTTGGAATTAGTGCTCTGCATTTAACCCATCCAAAGTGCACACACACAGCAGTGAACACACACACCGTGAACACACACCCGGAGCAGTGGGCAGCCATTTTTTGCTGCGGCGCCCGGGGAGCAGTTGGGGATTCGGTGCCTTGCTCAAGGGCACCTCAGTCGTGGTATTGAAGGTGGGAGAGAGCGCTGTACATTCACTCCCCCCTACAATCCCTGCCGGTACGAGACTCGAACCTGCAACCTTTGGGTCACGAGTCCAACTCTCTAATCATTAGGCCACGACTTCCCCACAGAGTCACATGATCACAAATGTGATTTTAAACTGTAAAAAACAAAAATTAAACACGAGTTTTTTGACACATATGTCCTCTACAGTGGACATCATCTGAAAGGGTTAAAAGGAAGAAAGCAAAAGAAAGGTGGGTGTTTAATATGTTCTACATGTTGCCATGAAAATCATAATGGAGATGTGGTGTGCTGAACAAAACAAGTGAAATACTGTAATTTATCATTTAAATGATCTTTCCTTTATTCACAAATTTCTCGAATTTAAACACAAAAGCTTATTTCAATGGGCCATCATCAGTCATGACTTACAGAAGTGAACAAAAACTGAAGAAGGAGCGAAATATAAGGGAAGAGAGTAAAGACTCTTTGGAGCATGACTAAACGCATTCATCCTCTGTTCAAATAGAGGCCTAAGACCGCAGGACTGAGGTATACAGTGGACGAAAATGGTACTAAAATGAGATGGAAGGATGTAATGCCTCACTCAGCCTGGTTTCCTGAAATCAAAAAGTAAATCTGTAAAAAATAAAATAAAAAAAGGGCATCTAATCTTCCCGCAAGGAAAAGATAATGAAAGAATGATGGAAACATTTCACTCAAAATAGGTGAAAAGTAAAATGCTGGAGATTTTACCATTCTGGCGTGTGTACAAATGGCAAAAAGTTCATATCTGAAGAAAATTAGATTCTGAATCACAGTGAAGATAGAAAGTGTCATTCCATCATACAGGGTGGTCCGTGACAGAGTGGAAATCTCTCTCTCTCACACACACACAATATCATATGGCAGGGATGCCATCATTCAAATGCACATCCTCTCATGTTTTCCTGACAGGTTTATACCTTACATAAAAGTTCTCTAAATTATTTCTTGTCACGTCTACAATATAGCTTCCAATAAATGCTTATTTAACTCCCCATAATAGTGACTAACAGATTTTAAACAAGTCTGCACCATAAACCATACATAACCTTAACTAAAAAATACACCTTATGCATATGAAAAATCACAGCATTCAATCGCAAACATTGTGCTGAGCCTGCTGAGGCGTGGGAGAAAAAGCCCTCATCCACGAAGGACACAATCCCACGTTCATCAAATTGCCTTTACACCTACAAATATAGTTTTTGCAGCTTTCACAGGAAGTATTGTGACATGGCTTTTAACGCACAATATTTCAGGTTATAGAAAGCCTGGACTAAACATCAGACTGTTGAATGACAGAACCAAATATAAAATAGCTCAAACCACGACAATCGCAAACCCTCTAAACTCCAGCCTTCCCAAAGGACAGAAAAAGTGAAATGAATTATCACATTCCAGTCTGTGTCACAGACATAGATGAAGTGTAATTGAAACCAAGCTCACTCACTCACTCAGCCTCAGTACCGTAAGTAATCGTCAACCAGCCGTATGTCAACGAATGAGCACATTGCAGTGCACAAACAGACCTTCCGGCTCCAGCCCTTGATGTGAAAACGGACGGCTGGACGGAGGGCACACTCACCCTGAGAGGACCATTAGCGGAGGAGAGGAAGACAGTGAAGGCGTCAGTCTCCCGTGGCACTGGGGCATATCCGCTTCTTTAGGAGCCATGCGAGGCGGCCGGCTGCAGACGAGTTGTTCCACATTGGCTGAAGTGCAGCAGTGAGAGGGCTTGCCCGACGCCGGAGCAGCAGCGAGCGGACACGCTCACGCGCACTCACACACATGCAAGGGAGAGTGTGTGAGAGCGAAGACGCGCGCTACGTTTAGTGCATCAAATTTAAATCACACCACAAGGAGGCTTAAGAAATGTGTCCCTCTTGATTTCTCACATCACCGAGAGAGGCACATGTGTGCGCGCACTGCACACACACACACACACACACTCAGGCGTACAGACAGTTGGCACGAACGCGCGCGCAGACGATGTCCCTCACCCGCCGCTGCAGACCCTGTGTGTGTTTGATAAGAAAAGAGGGAAAGAGGAAGGAGGGGAGGGAGAGTTTAGAAAGCGAGAGAGAGAGAGAGCGGAAGAGAAATGAGGTGAGGAAAGTCCTGTTTCAGTTCAGTTTAGTTGGTCATCTCACATACCGGCAGCAAAGACAACCGTTTCTTATCTAAGCTTATAATAACCCACAAAGCTTATGTAATCAGAGGGGTGGCTGGGTGGGTGTTAGTGGGGTTTCGGAAGCTGAGAAGTAATAATACTGACGCATTTTAATTGGCTGGCCCGTGTATTATCACACTGATTACACCTCGTTACTAGATGACATGATTTAAATGAGAAAGAGATGGAGAGATTGGAAGATTACAATGTGGGTGAAAAGAAAAATCAAATGTAAGGAAGCGTAATTGGATTGTTAATTAACGCGAGTCATCTCTGTGTTTTATAATTACCAGAATTCTTCTGGGGATAAATCAACCTTGTTGTTGCTGCTTCAAACACACACACACGACTGTCCCGATCATCTATGCTCACTAATAATGCTACTGTCAGAAATGAATCTTAGATCTCGTAAATCATGCTGAAAGAACAGCATATGCTTACTTGATTGATTTAGTGTTTTGTTTACTTGCTATTCTGAAGCTCTAACAAAGTAGGCCTACAGCTTTCAGGAACACAATAAATGCATCTTGCTTTTCCATTAGGATAAGTCAAACCAAAAAGCATAGAATATGATTTGTATGCATGCATTTTTGTTAGTTCAGTTCACGAAGGAATGATTTGTGGTTAAGTCCCATCCACTCTTCCCAGCATGCAATGGGGCATGAATAATTAATATGGTTGTATTGTTTGACCAAGGGCTTACAGTGCCGTTTTTGTTGTCATGTTTAGTAAATTGTGATGTCAACATGTGTTTGTTCTTCTACTCAAAATGATTTTTGTTCATTATTTCATAAATGGTTTGGTGTCATTAGTGTTCTACGCGTGTTCATGTGTTGTCAATAGTTTAAGAAAACAAACACTTTGCATTCCATTTACATTTTTCATGTCATGAAGCAAATAATCAATTTAAAACTATGCAAACAAAGGGAACAGTTTGCACTGAAATTGCTTATGCTACTAAAATTGACCTATTTAAATAACAGATTTAAATGTAAAAATTGCTTAATATAAATAATTGCTACAGTTATGGCAGATTTTAAAGGGGTCATATGATGTTGCTAAAAAGAACATTATTTTGTGTATTTAGTGTAATGAAATGTGTTTATGCGGTTTAAGGTTCAAAAAACACATTATTTTCCACATACTGTACATTATTGTTTCTCCTCTATGCCCCGCTGAATACCATTTTTAAAATGTGCTGCACACATCTGAATATTTGGGTTGAAGTGTTCTGGAACAGTGTTGTAAATACAACTTCTTGACATTTTAAGTTCAGTTAAGATATTTACTTAAAAAAGAAAAAAAAAGCCATAAAAACAGTAGCCTTAATTTTTTTATGCCATGAATTATCTTAATTCCCTCACCCAGAGCAATACCTGTATGTTCCCATCCTGAAGCTGAATCTTCGTTCTTCACTCAGTGCCACTGCCACACATGAAATACAAGCTAGAGGAGTGTAACACTTCATAAACCTGCAGAACATTTCCTTGGTGCGTTAATGTGTCAGAACCCTTTTACTGTATCTGCACTGGAATACAGCACAGCCACTGTAATGCTGATGATGATCATAATAAATGAACTCATGGTCAGACTCAGGGATTTGACCTTGATGGTCAGTATGTCAAACCTGTTTTAATCCCACCATATGATGTATTTTCAAGTAAAACAGAAAAAATATATGTCAAGGTTTCTACAAAAAGCAGAACAATTGTTTTCAACATTGATAATAATAAGAAATGTTTCTTGAGCACTAAATCAGCATGTTAGAATGATTTCTGAAGGATCATTTGACACTGAAGACTGGAGTAATGACTGATTTAATTACTGCTTTTACTGTATTTTTGTTCAAATAAATGCAGCCTTGGTGAGCATAAGAAACTTCTTATAAAAACACACACACAAAAATCTTACTAACACTTTTTTTTGTTGGAAAAATTGGACTGAATACCATTTTTAATTTACTTTTAAATTTGCATCTAACTTATATTCTTATGTACTTGCCAGACCATTTGGACCGATAGTTTTTGTACAACCTGTTCTGATTTTTCTCCAAAAAAAAGCTTGATTGCTTTACAAATTCAGCTTACTCTGCAGCAGCTAGAAGTGTTCCTACATCAGTAAATGTGATATCATATTCATGAACTTCAGAGAAAAAATATTCTGCATGCATATTCTGCAATTAAAACAGCAAAAAAGGCTGTTCTCATTAAAGGGTGAGAATAGGTAGTTCATAGACAGTGTCCCTCTTAGCCACAAAATGTTAGTCTCTGTAGGTGTCTGTGAAATGGAACTTCTCTCCCCTGTGCCTCAGGCCATCGGCTGTCATTAACCAGAAAGTGAAATAAAACTTCACCAATTACTGAAGGAGAAAAATCTTCATAATTCAGCAGGAATGCAGACTCCATCTGCTAGCACAGCTTAAATAGTTTGATAACACAAAAAAAAGATTTGTAAAACATACTTTCAGGGATGCTCCATTCACAAGATGTTAAGGATGGGAAGTATGTTGAGCTGACATTTCCCAGAATGCCCTAAGTGGTAATATGTGCAAATTATACAGTGACATTCAGCGAGGTCAAATATTTTAAAGGGAATTTCTGCTGTTTTCAGGACGCACTCTGTCTCGTGCAATTCAAATTGTCTTTTGGTGCCGCCAGCACAGACGGCTACATATCAGCTCTTTTAAAGGGACGATGAAATCAGAATGGGCCCACTGGCGTATGGGACACGCCCGTGGTGTGGGGTTGCAGATCCCATGCGAGGCCTTCCTTATGAGCCAGGTAGGCTATATTAATGTTTCTTGAGCACTAAATCAGCATGTTAGAATGATTTCTGAAGGATCATTTGACACTGAAGACTGGAGTAATGACTGATTTAATTACTGCTTTTACTGTATTTTTGTTCAAATAAATGCAGCCTTGGTGAGCATAAGAAACTTCTTATAAAAACACACACACAAAAATCTTACTAACACTTTTTTTTGTTGGAAAAATTGGACTGAATACCATTTTTAATTTACTTTTAAATTTGCATCTAACTTATATTCTTATGTACTTGCCAGACCATTTGGACCGATAGTTTTTGTACAACCTGTTCTGATTTTTCTCCCAAAAAAAGCTTGATTGCTTTACAAATTCAGCTTACTCTGCAGCAGCTAGAAGTGTTCCTACATCAGTAAATGTGATATCATATTCATGAACTTCAGAGAAAAAATATTCTGCATGCATATTCTGCAATTAAAACAGCAAAAAAGGCTGTTCTCATTAAAGGGTGAGAATAGGTAGTTCATAGACAGTGTCCCTCTTAGCCACAAAATGTTAGTCTCTGTAGGTGTCTGTGAAATGGAACTTCTCTCCCCTGTGCCTCAGGCCATCGGCTGTTATTAACCAGAAAGTGAAATAAAACTTCACCAATTACTGAAGGAGAAAAATCTTCATAATTCAGCAGGAATGCAGACTCCATCTGCTAGCACAGCTTAAATAGTTTGATAACACAAAAAAAAGATTTGTAAAACATACTTTCAGGGATGCTCCATTCACAAGATGTTAAGGATGGGAAGTATGTTGAGCTGACATTTCCCAGAATGCCCTAAGTGGTAATATGTGCAAATTATACAGTGACATTCAGCGAGGTCAAATATTTTAAAGGGAATTTCTGCTGTTTTCAGGACGCACTCTGTCTCGTGCAATTCAAATTGTCTTTTGGTGCCGCCAGCACAGACGGCTACATATCAGCTCTTTTAAAGGGACGATGAAATCAGAATGGGCCCACTGGCGTATGGGACACGCCCGTGGTGTGGGGTTGCAGATCCCATGCGAGGCCTTCCTTATGAGCCAGGTAGGCTATATTATGGTTCAATTTGTCTGTCAAGAGTGATTTTTCTCTGCATAGAAGCTAAAATCTAATTCAAAGGTGTCAACAACAGGCAATAGAACACAAGGAAATCATTTTCTCTTTTGGTTGTTTTAACGCTGATCTGAACATGCCCTGAGGTGTGAGTCTGGACATGAAGTAAAGAAACCGTGAGAGAGACAGCTGAGATGTTTGCTGAGATGCACCACTGAGCTCTAGCCTATATTACTGAGCAGGGCTAATCAGAGGAGTGAAAGGAGAGAGGAGAAAATCCTCTCTCTGTGCTTCCCGTCTTGAGGCTGTGAGCACATCCTCCTGCTTTCTTCTCGTGCCGAAGCTAAGAGTCATTTTCACTGCTTGATCCCCATTGGATCAGCTCTCGTTGAAGGCCGCTGGGGTTCCTCTTATTGTTACAGGAACAGATCACCTTCTGCTCATTAATTTCATAATGTTCATGCATATTCCCTCAAGACTTCAACTATTTATACTGTATGAGCCACTGCATATATATTCTGCCTGAATAATAACAAAGCAATCTCCAAGAATTTTCTCACCATCCTTTAGGTCACCTCATTTCCATCCTTACAGTACAAATAGGTGTAAAAAGTAATGTGCATTATAATTAAAATCACAATATATGAAATATTTCTTCTTTTATATACAGTATTATCTACAGATGAAGCCACAATCTAAGTGCATAAGGGAAAATGCTTCTATTTCCATGCTTTTTTTTTCATTTATTACAAATTGTGTTTCTCAAATGCAATTGTAAAGTGTAAATCATCCATTTTGCTCAAAAAAGA